GTAAGGAGGGAGGCGGGTGCGCAGAGTGAGGAAAGAGTAACTTGAGTAAAAACACACGGCTGATCAAGAGAAACGACGAAGAGGGTAAGGCAAACTGGCAGGCTACATCTCCTAAGTACGAAGTATACGCCGGTCGATAAGGATGGTCTCAACCAAGCGTGAAAACCTCCTTGACCCTTTGAAAACTAGTCAAAAGAAAGTTATAACAATCACACATAGTTATACCAAAAGGAACTGTACTTAGTCGATAGGAATGTATATCTCATCTGCAATGATAATCGAAAGAATCAAAATCATCATTAGATACACAAAGATAAAAAAATCACTCGACCAACCCGGGTTGAACTCCACAAAAATCATACAGCCGCCAACGAGGAGTTGGCTTTAGACAATAACATATATGCAACCGACACAGTAGTCAAACAACCTTAGTTTTGACTTGATGAGATGCACTGCCAAAGTTATTCATTCCATATACCGCCGACCTAAGATTAAACACGTACATTCGTCGTCACAGACTCCTTCAACTTGTCTTCTGATAACTTCGTTTCTTGCAGACAGATGCAATCTACATTATTTGTGAAAAGCCAAGACTTCGGCCTCTTTTTCTTTTCCCTGTCCGAGGTATCACCGAGCCAGCAGATATTCCAGGTCGCAAGTTGTAATTTAACCATTTGTGTTGATTTCCTCCGCTACTTGTTGGATGCAGTCATCGATTTCTTCGTCCCCCCATTTGACTCCAGCTCGGTGTGGGGACTAGAGCATTGGGCTATTTCTTTGATGTTCCCTTGAGCGATCTGAGTGCGACGCTGTCCTCCAACCTTCTGCTAAAGCGTCCAACAAAAAACTGGAGTGAAGGTTTTTCGAATCTGGCAGTTTTTCATTAAGCTTCAGCAGCGGCAACACTGAGACTTCTGGAGATAATGCTATTGACCCCAGTTCATGGTTGTTCCTTTCTCTGACTGCGTCCAAAGTAAACCATCTATACCTGTTTGCGTGGGAGTGTCCACTGTAGGAGGGTCGATCCGGACGTCTATCAGTGGAAAGTAAAACTTCAGCGCTTTCTCTTCCAGTGGGACTACACAGTTGGCCGTAACCCATCGTGGGACAATCCTGATAGGAAATGAGTCACCATACAAAAACTTGGTACGAGTAATAATCTCTCCTGGGAGTAGTGACCTCTCCATGGGGACCGATGGGAGGTACGGATGTCCCTCTGCATTGGTCGAGCCCAAAAAGAACGATGCTTCCCCTCCCATCGTGCAGACCAGTCGCACTAGCCTCCTTTCAATTGACAAATGAACCTGCGCTTGCTGATTTCTATAGCCCCGTTTGCTGGAGGTAGTCCGTCCCCTCTGTAAGCCGCCCGAACTGCTTGTAGACGACTCCGACCGCTCCGCCTGCAGGAAACCTGAACCCCCTAGTGTCGAGTCATCCCCAATAAAGTCACTGTCGATCTCTACCTTCGACTGTGACGTCGAGGATTGAGCTGAGAGTTCCCCTGCCAAACCACCTTCTGCTCCTTCCGGTGGACCTCTTCTTCCCCTGCTCCCACTTCCATGATGGTAGCTCTGGTATGAGTTCTGACCGAGAGTCCTGCTTCCCCCCTGTCTCCCTTGTGAGTAGGTAGGGCCCAGCGCCGGCCACAGTCTGACTTCCCCTTCCTCCTTGTATGTCTGGTCCTGATAACACTGTAGTCGAATTGACACTGAGCGGATAACTGGTACCTGTTCCTGCGGTGGGGGACAGTGTTGTATGGGGCCGCCACCTCCCCCTTGTGGGTACCAAGAGGAACCATAGTACCCCGGGCCCAAAGGATGTGATAAAGGGGGGTGGGGCATGCCGAGGGGCCAGGAGGAGGGGTGAGACCACGAAGCCATAAGCGAGCAACCTTGTGGTGGAGGGTAAGTAGGCTGCCCCTGCCTTTGTCCCCAGCCGTCTGAACTACCGTAAGTGCCTTGTGCCTCCTGTATTGCCACCGGGGGTCCCCTTGAGCTTAATGGAACTCTCCGACTCGGCCCTTGTGCTGACTGGCCATAGGACAAGTAACTTACTGTTGTTGACTGAGGTCCATCGGGCTCAGGACCTGCTGGGACTGCTGCAGGAACTTGATGGCCACGTGCTGAAGACTGCCTGATCGTTGAGTGAGTCGCCTGCTGCCTGCTGCCTGTGCCTGTTGCCTTCCTTCCCTGTCTTGCTGAGGGGGTTGCTGCTGAGGGAGCCTGGAGTTTAACCAGGTGCGCCGCAGTCTCGAGTCGTCCAGTCGAGGGCAGGTGTCCTCAGTGTGGAAGTACCATCTGCATTTACGACACTAGTTTGAATAAGGAGTAGCCACCGGTACCTTCCAGAGTTCTCTCGTCGGAGACTCAATAGGGAGCGAGTCCTCCACCCGGAACCGCCCTTGAGGATCCATGTCGAGTTTAATGTTCATCAACTTTGGTTTCGACCTGTCCGCTTCTAGGGGATGCATGTGTTTCACACCTCCAATCAACCCCTCCACTGCAAACAGAAGGTACAGATCGCATCCAACGGCACCCTCAACGCCACTATCCAGAAATTTAATTCTGCCTCCCTCAACCCCAACTCCTTCAGCTTAGTTTTTGTCATCCGTGGTGTCACTGTTGCCGAATACTCTTTCCTTCTTAGTGTCAAGTTCACTGAGTGTTTTTGTACTAGCCATGTCGCTACCTCCATTGCTTTTGCTACGTAGGAGATAACATTAGGACTTTCAAAATTGACTCTCCCTCTTCTCAACTTCGTATTAAATAACCTGCGAGTTATCCAACCGTCCTCATAGTATGCTCGCACCAAGTCTTCTTTCACCCCCTTTAATAGATCCCGCGCCTCGTCCTGAAAGATAAATATCACTGTTCGCTCTTTCAGCCACCTCTCCTTAATGGCATCCATAGATTTGTTTACTTTGAATCTCTTCCCTTGTTCGTCTATCACCACCTGCCCTAGGTCGACCGCTAACTGGAGCACTCCCTCGTCGTAACACTGACCTATTGAATGCCTCGCCCTGTCCTCAAATTCTGAAAAAATTGTTTGAGGCTGCGGCTATGCGGGGGAACTATTCTCTCCTCCCTCTCCCCCCTGTGCTCCGTCGAACTCCATGTCCAATCACCGATTCTCCCGTTCCTAAGGCGATCCGAGGATTTGTCAGTCCCTAAATAGCCCGGTATCTCCAACTGCCAACAAAAACCAAGTCAACGTCAGTTGTACCGGGGATTAAGACCTTACATAAAATTCCGTAAGAAATGTCTCTGTTACCGAGGGTCTATCAATCCTTGGTAGGACCAGGTGTATACGATCCGTCCCTTAGTCCCTACCTCCTACCCCGTAACCTTCCCCTTACCCATTCGTCACCAAGCCTGACTGATAACTTGCTCCAATTCCACCGATAGGAATTCCTGCCTCTTCCTCCAATCTCCATCTCTGCCCCGGACCCCGCCCCGCTACTAGATTCCATCCGCATGCAATTCATCCTTAATTAACTAATGACATCTTCCCCCTCGATGGAAGGGCCATACCTTAGCTGTAGCCCAACCGATCATCTATACTTCCATCCAGATTGCCTTAGTCTTGCATGACTTAGATTGAGCCATGAGCTTCTCTCCTAAGTCAGAGTTCTTAAGTCTTGAGGGTCAACTGAATCCGACTCCCTGACTGTTGTTATACTCCAACTTCGCGTGTGGGGATTTCTACTTCTTTCCTCCGATTAATCCACCCCATCCCTAATTCTGGCCCTGCCCTACTTCTCGATTCCGTCAAAGAGCTGCTCATCCAGATCAACTGGTGATGGCGTAACCTCGAAAGGAGAGCCTTTCCTTTACTAGTAGAGCCCACCCGAAGACCTCTTCTCTTCCAACCCGAAGGCTTCGATCTGAGTTGAAGTGGATTGGGCCTTGGGCTTCTCTTTCTTCTCCAAAGTCTTGGAGATCTATCTGAGCCGAATTTGGAGCCGCTGCTCTCCACGTTCGTGACGCCGTAAGACTACTTGTCTTTCGAATATTGACGACAAGGGTTAGGGATAATTGGCCTCCTGCCGCTACCAAAATTCCCATCAGACTGCGCTAAACTTCCATCAACCCTCCACTTCTCCCTTGGTATGTCGTCACCCTTCATATCCGCTTGCCCTATACAAGATTGGAGTAAAAAACAACACCTCCATTTTCGAAAACAGAGAGGCACCCACCAGGTTGAGGATGCTTGCTCTCCTGTTTCTACAAGATTTGCGGCTGTAATATCCTCTCGGGGAGTACTAGTTTTCCCACTGTCCTCCGATTCTCCCCTGATGTGGCGATGACATCCGCCCTTCGTACTGGCTTACCTTGGTCAAAGTTGAAGTACGAATAGGAAAACCTTTCTGAATATGGGCCTCGTTAGACACTCCTCGGCGCGTCCTCGGGCTCCGAGGATGAATCCTCGGAAATTTTAGAAGTTTTTGGAGTCGTCGTTCCACCTGTCCTCGGAGAAGCACTCTGAGGATGACTCCTCGGGGCGGTTCTGCGGCCTGTTTCATAATATTACAGACGGTCGCGGGATGTCCGTCCTCTGGTTCAGGATGTCCGTGATGAGGGTCCATTGTCCAGGAGGTGCATGGCGGCGTCGCTACACGGGCCGTGGAAGTGGACGTCCCGAACACGGAAAACGACGGTTTCGAAATTCGAAATTCGAATTCCCACGCGTGCATGACGACGCCGACGCGGCGGAGCGGGGCATTGGTGGGCAGGGCTGGGCACGACGCGTAGGGTTTGGTGGTCCTCGTTTGTTTCCATCGCGTCCCATACTTGAAGGGTGTGGCGTGACGACGGTCGTCATTGCTGTTGACGAGCGAAACCGACGACCCACACAGTCGGTTTGCGGTGGGCATGTGTGTTCGTGTTTCCGTGGCCACGACGTCGTCGGCGGCGGGACACATCCGTGGGCACATCCCTCGGGAGGGGTTGCAACACGTGAATCGCAGGCTCGTCTTGTTTCGGAGTTGGTATCATCGGAGGCGATCGTGCAGCGGCGGGCTTCGTGTGCATGTTGGAAGGAAGCGATGGAGGGTGGCGGCGATGGATGTCGTGGAGTGTTGTCGCCAACGGAGAAACAGCGGTTGCGGCTGTCGCGCTTGCCGTCGTGATCCGCAGCCAGATTGAGAGAGCGGCAGGGACGATGAAGGCCAGGCTTTCCACGCGTCGGCAGAGGCTGCTCGTGCAGAGGGTGGTGGACGCCCCAGATTGTATCAACACTTCGGAAGCCGTCTTCCAGCTCCGCGCCGCAATCAGGTGTGGTGTCGTTCCGCCGGGCCGGGCGACGCCTCGATGGTGGATGAAGCGCAGAACAGGGGGCACTTGGGAGGACTTGCGGGTCTGCGACGATGCGAATGAGGACTACTTTCGAGAGAAGCTTTGCATGCCTAGGTGAGTTTTCATGGAGATCAGCGAAACCTGCGCTCCACATCTCCAAAGACAGGTTACCTTCTACAGGGAACCGCTGCAGCCGGAGCAGATCGTCGCGTACGCGCTGTACCGGTGGGCGACAGGAGAGACATATGACAGCAGCATATTGTCGTTCGGTGTGGGGAGAGCCTATGGAATAATCGCGGTGCGCGATGTGACATCCGCGTTGCTTCGGGTGTACGCGAACAAGATATGGTGGCCGACTGGGGTGCGGAAACATGTCGTGCTGCGGGCATTCCTGGACAAGGGCTTCCCGAACTGCCACGGAGCGGTCGATTGCACACACATCTACGTCGACAAACCAGCGAACGCGCCCAGCGAGAACTACTTTGACCGCAAACACCGTTTCTCCGTGGTCGCGCAGGTGGTGGTCGACCTCGATCTGCGCGTTCTGGACGTTTTCGTTGGGTATCCGGGGAGCTGCCACGACATCAGGATCATCCAGCTATCCAGCTTGTCCAGGCGCGCGGAAGACGGGACGCTGTTCCGTAGGCCACCTGTGACGCTGTCGGGCGAGGTGAGAACCAACGGTTACATTCTGGGCGACAACGGGTACCCTCCATCGGAATGGGTGGTGGTCCCGTACGGAGGAATCAATCAACATCCCGACGAGGAACGATTCGACACGAAGCAAAAGGTCGCCATAGGGGCTGTGGAGAGAGCGTTCGACAGGTTGAAGGGCATGTGGAGGTTGTTCCTGCGAACTCACAAGACGAAACTGGACACTCTGCCGCAACAGTTCACTGCGGTCTGCATTCTGCACAACATTCCTCTCGATGCAGGGATAGAGTTCGACGAGAATCTGCTATGGGAAGTGGACCGCAATGGTGTGCGGCGACGTGTGGATCTGGGAATTCAACTTCCCCCCCATCTAGTGAGCAATGCCACTTCAACAGACGAGGCGCTCGCGCTCCGACACGCTTTGGCGGAGCGAATGAAACAGTCGTGATCCGCAACGTCGCCATCGTCGTCGGCCTTCTCCTGCTACTTTGTGTGTGCAAACTGCAGGCTTCTGTTATCCATCACGCCACCCTCGATTACCTAAACACGGTGATGGTCTGTCGACTTCCATCGTCTTCATGCAGGCGGTTCGGATCGTGTACGGTGTCTTCTTTCGCAGTTCCCCGCGGTGCATGTACGGTGCACTGTTTTTCACGATCCTCGATCATCGGAGTGGTTGTTCGTCGTGTTGATGAGTGCTGCAGTCCGTCCACTGTGGCAATTTCGATATTTAGGTAGTGTCTTCTTTCCAGGGTAGGTGTCGACGTGCGTCCATCGACGGAGGGGCAGTGGACAAGTCGAGTGGCGGGTTGGGATGTCGGTGAGTGACATTGGTGACGGCGTCGGGGATGGAGGTCCTGTGTGTGGACTTCGTCGTGTGTTGTTGTTTTTGCTACGTGCAGAGAGGACTTGTCTCGTCTTACGAGCGGTGGTCGAAGCTTCCGTATATTTCAGATTTTTTTTACTATGCATTTCTTTCGTGAATTTTTTTTTTCGGTTTGAGTTCAACACTATGGATTCTTTTGCATGCGAAGGATCATTCTAATGTCTCCCGATTTCGATGTTGTTCGTGGATGCCATTTGAGGTTCTTTGCGTTTCTTCATCGGATTCGTCAGTACATTCATGTTAAACAAGCAAAAATGATTGGGAAACAAGTCGGTGGATAAAGATGACAGAAGAAAATACCTGAATGGCATCGCAAAATCGCATGTACATACACAGTGACTCGTAGTCATGAGACTGCCCAAGACGATGTGAGGATGCCGCATGAAACAAGCATTCAAACAGCAATACAAATGAAGTGTATGAAAAAACAGTTCGCGTCATGTACACATTGCAATATCATTATATCACACATCGCAACCGAAACCCAGTTGCGCAATCAACCCAGTATTCAAAGTCTTGAACCATTGTACCCAACGGTGAGAGCACATCAAACGAAACAGCTTTCCCCTCCCCTCTCTCTCTCTCTCTCTCTCTCTCTCTCTCTCTCTCTCTCTCTCTCTCTCTCTCTCTCTCTCTCTCTCTCTCTCTCTCTCTCTCT